GGTCATTCATTTCCACCGTTCTTTCTGAAGTGATGAAAACATTCAGGAATAATAATGGTTGCACTATGGTGAATATACTAAAAGCTGATGAATTGTACCATTTAAATGGGTGGACTTCACAGTGTGTGAACAATATTGCAATAAGGATGTTCTATGAAAAAATATTTCTTGACAACCATTTTTCCTTCTATACTAGTAGTCTGCCCCACAATTTAAGAAAAACAAAAAACCAAAACCAAACAAAAATTTGCCAGATCTTTAGGACTGCAATGTTCCTGGGTCTCCAATGCCTCTGGTGGCGCTGTTTCTGTTAACACATACAAGTTGAGCTGGACTAGTTAAGGACTATATCTTTTTAAAATTGATGGTCACATGTTTCACCCTGGGAGGGGGGACGATGGAGAATGTCACAGCCTCATGCACTCAGCTTTTTTTTTTTTTTTGAGTAGAGAAAGTTTTTATTGCGGGGCCAAGCAAAGAGAAAAGTGGCTAGTGCTCAAAAACCCTGAAATTTCTGATGGTTTTTGGGGTGAATATTTTTTCTTTCTTTTTTTTTTTAAACTAGGGTGAAGTTTTTAATAGGCAAAATGAGGCTTGAGGGCTTCCAGGTGTGTGACTTTCTTCTGACTAGGGGATGGTAGATAATAGGGTTGTGTTCCAGGAATCTCATGCTCAGCCTGAACTTAGCATCCTCCACCTGGGTGGGGGCCTTAGTTCCTGCAGAACTCAAATATATTAATTATAGCCCTGCCCCTAATCTTCAGCTCATTTTTAAGTGAATCAAGCCCTGCTTTCAACATTGTAATCCTTCTCGCTATGAAAACATGTGACATCAACAAGCACCCGCATCCTAACACCTGAAAAAGTGTTAAAGGTACTTACCTGGGGCAGAAACACTGAGGGAGGAGAAAGAAACACACTCTGCGCTGACGCTCTATTTTCTCAAGGTTTTTGCAAGAGAAGCTTGGCTTTATAGCTGAAGGCTCTCAGCCCAGGGAACAGCGCCCACGCCGCTGAGCTGGACCTCGGGGAGCAGGAAAAGGAGAGGAGGGAAGTCCCAGGGTCCCGGGGCAGGGAAAGCGGCGGGAGGCGCGGGCTGCAGCCCCGCTTGGAGGCCAGTTCCAGACACAGCCCCCGCCCCCGCCCGGGTCTGCAGACCCCGCCAGCCCGGGACACAGCCGGCCCAGGTGTGGGGTCTGCAGCCTAGGAAAGGAAGCCCTGGAGGAGAGGACTCGCGGCAGGAGAAGGGAAGGGAATGCCGGCCATGGACGTAGGGGAACCCGGCTGGGGCGAGAGGCAGTAGGTATGGGCCGCAGCGGGGACGGGGGTGGCCGGACCCCCGGCAGGTGAGCGCCCGGCCCTGGACAGGTGTGGACGGCGCGCCAGGGCAGGTGGCGCGGGCAGAGAGGGCTGGCGGGAGCCCCTCAGCTGGACACGCGCTGACTCGCGCCCTCATGGGCTGTGACACACAGACTCCCTTCTCCGGAGCCCCCCACCTTGCACTTACACAGCTGGAGGCCCCGGCCGGGGGCAGGAGCCAACGACCCGGCGGGTAACGGAGCCGAGCAGCCTCTGGGGCCGATCCCCAGCTTGGAGCTGGAGCTTCGGACCTGCGGTCCAGCCGGCCCCGACCCTGTGCCTGCGCAGGAGGGCCAGACCCGCTCTGAGTTCTGCGAAAGACTGGGGAATCGAGAGAGGGAGAAGATGGGAGGGGAGGAGAAGAGGGGAAAAGTGAAGGGAGAGAGATAGACGGAAGGAGGAGCAGGGAGAAGGGAGGAATCTGGAGGGAGAAGGGGGAGAGGAGTAGCAGAGATGGAAAGAAAAAGCTTTACCTTCAGGGTCACCCTCAAGGAGGCTCCAGTCCTGCCTCTGTGCCCCTCTCTGTCCCCTCAAGGCCCACAGCCCAAATTTCACCTCCCTACTCCAGCCCTCCAGCCTAGGCCCCTGCAGAACCCCTACAGGGATCACACCCATTGCTCCCATGAGGAGCTGGGTTTCCTGTCGCTCCCGGAACCAAGCACCCACAGGCGTTGTCACTTGGAATTACCTTGGGAAGAGTATAAATTCCCCTCTTACAGGCTGGGAAACTGAGGCAGGCATGATCTCTGCCTTAGCTGCACTGTCCCAGGTTGTTGGGCTGGCGGGGAGCAGCAAGTACAAGGTCAGAACCCTAGATGGATTAGACTACCTGAATGTTGGTGCAGAGTCCCCATCCCTCCTGGGTAAGCCACTCCCCACCCCAGAGGAACCATTAAGGGCTCACAGTAGGTCCCTGGATGTGGGAGAGCTGTCCTCAGCTCCAGTGCCCAGCTTGCTATGTAGATAGGAGTGTTCTCGAGTCTAAACTCATTCTCCTCAATGCAGGACAGGCCAATAAATCAGGAGACCAGGTGTTGGGGTATGGAATTGCAAGTTTCTCTAAACCTAGATGGCAAACTAATGTCCTGGAAAACCATCTCCCCAAGTCAGAATTCAGGTTTCTTTCCTACTCGCTTGGTTGTTGCAAACTTCTTGGTGTAGGAATTCTTTGCTGTTAGACTCCCTTGTTCTTGAAGCTATCTGCCTGGGTCAAATCCCTGTAAACCTCCAACAAAACAAATGTTATTTTCTATTCTGCAACTTGTTATCTTTATATGAATGGAAAAATGTTAATATCCTTAAAGGTCAGAGCCTTCAGAAAAGGCTCTCCTGTATATTTCAGGCTCTAGGAAACATTGTTTTACAGAAGGTGCAGAACCAGCAAGACTAAGAATAGGAAACAGAGCACAGGGTTAAAGTCAAAGGAACAGATCTAATATGGAATCAGATTTGTTCTTTTCTATTACCCGGGAAGAAGCCACTTGAGGATTTAAATCCCTTTAGGTTAAAAATAAGTAAAACTTTAAAGGAATTTGCATACATAAGTGGGAATGTGCATAGCACATTTGGAAAAGCACACAAAGGATTGTAAACAGTGGCATCTCCAGGGAGGGCTGAAAGAACAGAGGATGAGGGAAAACTTCTTTCATTTGTGTATTTTTGTGCTGTTTGAATTTTTTTGTTTTTTTTTTACCACATGCATGTATTTCTTTTTAAATTTAAAAAAAAAGGTATAATGGAGGGAAGTAGTAAGTAGCTCAGCAAATACAGCAGCCGTGGAAACACTGAGCCGTCACTTTTGCTTTAAGCCCGGAAGCATTTATTGACTCTCTCCTATGTGCCCAGTTCTGTTTTATGACTTCATTAATTACGTATATTTTCTATAAAATAATAACATGCTACCCCTCACCCCTGCCCAGGGCTGGTGGAAAACCAAATGAGTTTTTATTGAATCATTTCCCAAGGAATAGAAAGGAGTTATAAACAGAATACATCTTCAGGGCAAACCAGGTGGAATGGGTTTCCAGCAGGCCAGACAGCTAGGAAGGGTTTTCAACAGAAATGCCCAGAGGCTGAGAGAGAAAGCTTCTAGGACCCCAAAAAAAGCTGCCCAAAGTGGTTTCTCCATGGCACTATTGTAATAGGAAAGAACAAATCTGACTCCATATTACATCTGTTCCTTTGACATTGATCCTGTGCCCTGTTTTCTAGGCTTAGTCTTGTTTGTTCTGCACCTTTTATGAAACAATGTTGCCTAGAGCCTGAAATAGACAGGAGAGTCTAATCTCAAGGCTCTGACCTTTAAGGATATTAACACTTTTCCATTCATATAAAGATAACAAGTTGCAAAATAGAAAATAACATTTGTTTTGTTGGAGATTTACAGGAATGTGACCCAGGTGGATAGCTGCAAGAACAAAGGATTTTAACAGCAAAGAACTCCTACACCAAAAAGTTTGCAACAACCAAGCATAACCCCTTCCCCTTTTTAATATAAAAGGAGCCTGAATTCTGACTTGGGGAAGATGGTTCTCCAGGACAATTAGTCAGCCATCTCCTCAGTCTGCTACCTTTCCAATTAAAGTCACTATTTCTTGCCCCAAAACCTGGTCTCCCAATATATTGGTCTGTCCTGCAGTGAGCAGAACATACATACATTGAAGGTATCCATTTGGTATATTAAATGACCTGCTTCCGCTAGTCTTTCTTCCTGACATTTTCTTCTCTTGACCACTCCTGCTATGTTTATGAAAAATCTTTCAGTCTGCTCATGCGGGCACATTTCCATCTCTAGCAACTACCCTTCCAGGTAAGAACTGATGCCACAAAGGCAACCAAAATTGCTAAGAGATATTACACGGTCAGAAAAGAGCAGAAGTGGGTACTTGCTGATGTTCAGGAGCAGGCTGTGACACATGACAAGAAGTCATAAGCGTGGATAGTTAGCTGGGCACAAAAGGAGAGGCTTCTAAGCCTCCATGAGGGACTTGGTGGATAGAAAGAATTTCCAGACTGTAGATCTGATCCCACCACAAGCTTCCTGGGTGAGGCTGGGCAAGTCATTTAAGTTCTCTAGGCCCGTGCTGTCCAACATGGGAGCCACCAGCCACAGGCAGTATTATGAAGCTATTCTGTAGCCAGGCAGAATTATAAATAAAAATTTTACTGCAAAGGCTCAGCATGTATGATGTTTAGAAACATTAGTGGTTTTCTTGTCCTAACAGGTTATTTTTATATGTCTAGCTTTCTGTGGTTTGTAATGCCCGTGACTAATGATTCCCTTATAGTAACATACTTTGAAGTTATAAGTTACTGGACACAGTATCATCATATCACAGTTGGAAAAAAAAATGATCTACATAAGCTAGGCCATCTGATGTAGTAGTTATGAGCAGGGTCTCTGGGGCCAGCCTGCCTGAGTACAAATTCTCACTCTGCCTCCAGGGGGTTCTGTGTGAATCTTGGACAAATAATAATTATTATGATTATCATTATGATTATGATTTACTTATTTGTGCTTCTTTTTTCTTACCTTTTAACTGGTGAGGAATATGTAAACTCTCTCCTACTGTATTGGCAGGATTAGTTAACGTATTTGCTGCCCACTTCTCTGGGTTTCAGCATTCTCCAGGCACTCAGTTCCAAAGTCTGAGGCATTCTCCACTGTCTTAGTCAGTCTGGGATGCTGTAACAAATTACCATGGGTCAGGTGGCTTAAAAAGCCAGCATATTCCTCAAGCTTTGGCGGCTGAGACATTCAAGATCAATGTATCTGGGAGAGGACTGGTTTCATGGCTTGAAGATGGCTGTCTTCCCACTATCTTCATGGGGCAGAGAGCAGAGTGGCAAGCTCTCTTGGGCCCCTTGTAAGGCCCCTAATCCCATTCATGAGGGCTCTACTCTCATGATCTCATTTTATCCTAATAATCACCACCAAAAGGCCCCAGCTCGCAATACCGTCACACTGGGAGATCGGATTTCAACATATGGATTTTGAGGGGACGCAAACATTCAGTCCACACATTGGCTAAATCTCCCCAACATGCAGTCATCAAACCTGTAGCTAACTTCAAAGTAATGCTTATATCTCTCTGCCCATTTCCATTCCTACATCCACTAACACTGAAGCCCTGTGACATTTTATTCCTTATTTCCCTGGTAAGGGTTTAATTGATTCCTCTACTCCAATGTTCTTTTCACTCAAAACAGTCTGCTTAACATACCTACCAGGTATTTCTTCCTTAAAACACCTTCCCACTTCACCTGTCGGTTTTTTAGGTGTAAATGTCAGAATCCGCTCCACATCCCATCCCAGACCTTTAATCCCTTACACAACCCCTCCCTATGTTACTTTTCTATTACTACTGTAACAAATTTCCAGAAACTTAATGGCTTAAGCAAGCACAGATTTATCACCTTATGGCTCTGGAGG